CAGGCAGCTAGTCCCCAAGCTCTTTCTGGACACAGCTGGAACCTTCCTGTTTTCCACCTTCAAGTTCAGTCATTGCTCCCCACCTCGTTACTAAGCCCGAGAGTCCAATTAGCTGTGTGATGCATGACCCCTCCTCAGCCTCCGCAGACCCACGACCTCATCTGGGAGTCACAGGCAGAAGCAGGTTGGGAGTGGCTCCCTGGGTCCAAAGCCTGGGCCATGAAGACGGGGGAGACGCCTGCCCAGACGGGCCACCTGGCCTCGGGGACAGTGATGAGGCAGAGCCGGACAAGGGGAGTGAGGACACGATCCCTGCTGAGCAGAAGCAGTCTCCTCGGGACCAGAGTGGAGGTCTAGGGCGCCTGTTCTCTCATAATGGGCTGTGGGGAGTAACAAGAACATGGCCGTGGGGCCAGGACACCTGAGTTCCAGTCCTGGTTGGCCACTGTGTTTCTACCTGTGGCCCTCAGCAAGGCCCATGGCCTCCCGGAGCCTCTTGGACACATCTGTGAAATGGGGCTAATCATCCACGCACCTCCCCCCCCCCCAACAGACCCCTCCGAGTGGTGGTGGATCCAATGAACTCAGGGCTGTGGGTTCTGTTCAGGTCTGACTTGGTTGCATGTGGCACAAACGTCCTGATTCTATTAGGACTTTATTGGCTTACTTAAGTGAAAAGTCGGGGGAGTGGAATTCAGGCATGGCTGGATTCAGAAAATGAACAAGGTCACAAAGACCCCGTCTTCTCTGAAGACCCGCAGATCAGCTCTCCTGTCCTGAGTGTGGGCTCCTTTCGACAGCCACAGCAGCCCCATCCGCTCTGCACCCCGTGGCGTCTGGAACCCCAGGGGCTGTGGCCAGGGGGCTTTGGACAGAGGGCAAAAGGGGTCAGTTGGTGGGTGGCCTCTGAAGGAAAAACAAGGCTTTCCAAGGCCCTACCCACTCCTGAAGCAACTAGTCAATGTCAGGAGAGACAACAGCTCCCCTCCCACCATCTCCACCCAATTCAGAGTGCAGAATGAAAGGCCTTCTCTGGGGCGCCTGGGTGGCTCATCAGTTAAGCGTCCAACTCTTGGTTTCGGCTCAGATCATATCAGGGTCGTGAGACTCAGCCCTGTTTCAGACTCCGCACTCAGTGGGGAGTCCGCTTCAAGATTCTCTCCTTCTGCCCCTTCTCTCACTCACATTCTCTTTCTCAAATAAATCTTAAAAACAAAAGAGAGAAAAGGCCTTCTCTGGGTCACAGGCAGCCTTGGTCCCGCTCCTATAAACTCTCAGGTCAGGCCACACCTCACAAGGCTCAGCCCGCCCCAAACTGGCCTGACATCCCCACTCAGCAAGTCTTGCCACCTGCCACCACCCAGGCCCCAACCCCTTGCCTTGTTCATCCCAATCGTTCATCCCTTTAGTGTGGCCAAATGGTGTCACTCGCAACGTTCTCATGTTGTCAACAGCCAATGGGTTACACCTGCCCAGCCCACACTGGGCCCCAAAACCCCACCCCGGTGGTCCTGCCTGGACACAGGAGGACCAGGCACCTTCTCATGTCTGGTAGGAACTCGAAGGAGACAGAAGTTAAAGGCTGGGCTCCAGGTTTGGGCTTCCAACCAACTGCATACAGACTCAGAGGACTCTCTGAATTTGGCATAAAAGCAAACACAGGGACAATGCAAAGCACTAGGAAGGATAAAAAACAGACTGTGACTAAAGAGGATTAGATTAGAACCGCAAGACATTCCCCCTTTGGCCACCATGTCCAGCCGCCATCAGACCCTGGGAGGTAAGATAAGGCAATGCCCAAAGACCCTGCAGACAGAGAAGCCACGCGGTCAGGTACAAAGTTACAACTGCTTCTCCCCGGATCATCCCTCAGGTCCGAACTGCCATTTCCAGTAAGCCTTTTTGCCTCAAAGTCCTTTTTCCTTCTAACACAGTGTCGCCCGCCCAGGGCTTTCCCCATCCTTCCCACCTTTTGGCATTATGTGTTTAACTTTCAGAAATAGCTTCTAGCTAGAGTTCTTCTCATCGAATCTTAAGCTTCTGTGATTTAACTGGTTAGTCTACCTGCATTTGTTGGGCTTATTGATCTTATCAGGATTTCCATTTACCACTCTGCTTTTTCTCATCTTTTTTGCCTATTAGACCGATCACCTGTTCAATACCCCTTCTCTGCCACCACTTTGAAAGTGACACACTCTGTTGTGTTCTTGTAAGCAGGACTGTAGACTCTTCACACATCTGGTGAACCCGCTAGCCCACTCTTATTTACAGCAGGAGGACCTGCCCCCACTGTCTCCCTGCTATGTTGTCCAGTATTCTGGGTCCACTTGATTTTATCCATGATTAGATTCACTACACGGCAACCCATTTCTTTGCTCACTACCCTCCTTTTGATTCAATTTTCTCCTTAAAGTGTCTTCTTTAGTCCTTCTTTTGAAGAGGGGGTATGAATGAACTTGGAAATCTTACTTCTAAGTAAGTTTATTTTCTCAGCATCTCAAGATTTGCTTCCATAACCTTTGGCTTCGACTGTAGTGCTGTTGAGAATTTCTGCCTAATAATTACTCCTTTATAGATCTACCATTCCTGTAAACTTGAATGACCTTTGTCCGTATGCTCTGCAGATTCACTACAAATGAGCCTAGGTATGGATTTATTTTCATTTATTTGACTTGGGATTCCTTGCACTTTCTGATTTAGTCGCTTCTAGAACATTATCGGTCATTATCTCTTTAAACATTAGCTATCCAGTCCCTCACGGTAAGACTGCCTTTAAAAATAACACGCACCCCCTTTCATCCTCCACATCTCTCCCCCACCTACTTCTGGATAATTCCATCAGGTCCCTTCCCATCACCAATTCACCCTCAGTTGTGTCTCCTCCTACTAAGCATCTTTTTCTTAAGTTCCAAAATATTTAATTCCAGTAGTTTTGTTATATTCCTAGAAATTGTAGAAAGTTTTTAAAAAATCTGCCCACTTCTTCAGAATATGCTGTTCTTAGGGTTTTCATTTTTTCCCTTCTGATCCCATTATATCATCTATCACCGTAACTGGAAGTTCTCCAAGAGATGAATAACCAACCCCCAGGGCTGCAATGAGCCCAAGCTTTCCCAGTCCCTGTCTTTGTTCCCAGCATCTGAAAATTCCTCTTTCTTAGGAAATCAATACTCACTTAACTTTCGTGATCACTGGCAGGTGTTTGAAGCTGGGAGGCTGTTCAGGTCACCTCAGTCCCCTCTCTTGCTGGAACCACTCCAGTCCTTAGAGCCAGGCCAAGGGGACTGTGGTTCCTAAACCTTACATCCGCAGTGGGTTCAGCTACTCTCATCAGCAAACATCCAGATGTGCGAATCCGCTCCCAGGAACGGCAGGGGATCACATTTTCTCAAGTACCCAGAGTACACCAGAGTAGCCTCCTCTACAGAAGTGGGGCGGGGGCGGCGAGATGATGGGGTGTGCTATCAGCCTTCTCTCGGAACACGCCAAGCCATACATACAATCCTGTTCCCTCAAAGCTACAGCCGCTCCCCAGGGAACCGTATTGCTATGCGGGATTAAACCACTATCAGGATCTCCAGACCAACAGTGACAGAGCTATTCATCCTCACTGGCACACGAACAGCCAGTCAGCTCCCTGGCCCGACGGCCTTAATACCCATCCAGTTCCAGCTGTGCAAGGAGCCAGCACCCAAGTCGGATCACAGGCAAGCAGACAATTCTGACCGCGTGACTTAACCACACTTGGCTGACACAGGTCCAGTAAGTGAAGTGCGGGAAGCGTGCTCTAGGGTGGGCAGCTCGCACAGGTGGACGGCAGGGGAAGCAGGACTGTAGGGGGCCCACAGGGAGGCTGTTCGGAGTTGATCCTGAGAGCATGGCTACCCCAACCTGACATAAATCAAATGACATTCAGCGCGCCCTTGGGGTATAAAGGCAAAGATCTCTGCTAGGTTCCTCTGAGACACAGAACACACCTGCTCCCCAGACATTACCCACCCCAAAATAGTCAGCTCCAATTAATTTCCTCATTCACCAGGGCCTGATCCTTGGGGGCCTCATGCTAAGACGGGGATGGATACGGACGTGGGCGTCTGTTCTTCGTGAGCCTCTGCAGGAAGAGCAGGGAGGGAATCTGGATTAGCGCCCCCCTCCTCCTCCACAGAGAAACAAGGTCACCCCCCACCTCCGGCACCTACACCTCTCCTAAGTGCTCCCATCCACCTCAAGTTCTCCGCTGCTCCTTGCCTGCTCTGGCTGTCTAACAGGTTCACTCACGCATCAGCTCCCTCCTTGAGAACGTAAGCTGCACAGGGACGGCTAGGCCCCCAGCTGCACCTCCGAACAGTGCCTGCCCGGCAGCTGGTCGTCACAGACACCTGCATATCCAAAGTGGCAGGATATACAAGGCCAGGATTTCAAAAAGGCTTTAGGAAGGTGGGCCAGGAAAGGCCATTTATAGACAGAGGGGCCAATCCAAGGCCATAAAGAAGTCCACGCAGCTCAATTTGATGAGGAAGAGCAAAGCTGGGAAGACCTTTAGCTCCATCTGGTCCCCACCCCCATCGTTTAACAGCTGGGAAAATGGAGGCCGGGTAGCAGCTCACCCAGGGGTTTGGGAACTTAAGCCCCCTTGACCCTGGCCCACAAACTCCAGGAGAAGCACAGGGCACACTCTTGTTCATCACGTCTCAGGCATTAGCGAAGTCCCCTCCCCCAAATGGAGGAAAAGCAAATGAACGCATACGCCTTCATGAAAAAGACTTTCTCGTTTTTTTCTTCCTAAACTGAAATGCAAATTAATCTATCAAGGAACGGACATATTCATTTAACCCCTGTGCCGCATTCAGTTTTTAGACTTTGAAATGCTTGACTAAAATCTGCTTCCCTTTGACAGATCAGGAAACAGAACTGGAGTTGGCAGAAATGAATCCTTCCGTTAACGCACTAACGGGGAGGCCGAATCCTAAAATCGACTTCCGACTTCCACCGGCACCTGACACGCGAGGCAAAAACGTTTATTCACTTTTGTGTTGCACAAGTGTAAGAACCACATAATCTGGATTTACTTTAGGTCACAATAATTTAAAAGATAGAAAGCCCCTGTTACAGAAATTGTTAAATTGACTATTTGACAATTTATACAATAAATGAAGAAACTGACAATAGAACAGGCCAGTGATCAGCCAACACAATACAACAGGTTAACAAATGCAGCCAAAGAATCAGTGCGTATCATCCACCACCTTCCACCTAACATCATGGCTGGGCTGGGTTTTTTTTTGGGGGGGGGGGGGCGGAGCGTGGAAAGGAGAAGGCAGGGGGAAACAAAGGCAGGTAGATTCAAACTAGCCCTATTAAGTTTATTATCTTATACTATCAATCTAAAATTACAATGTGAATAGAGCGTGTGTTAATATAGCTCATGCAACTCGAGTTTTCTCCTGAAGGTCAGGAATCCAATAAGGTAAATGCTCAGATTGAGGCAGATGCTGGAAGTAACTGCACTGAATTCTATCTGCTTCAATCATGAACTGCACTAACTGGGCAATTATTTCAAACTATGAACCACAGATATAAAAGGACATACACAGTAAAAAAAAAAAAAAAAAAAAGTTCTAATTTAAAAAACATGTAGTAAATATAAATGAAATAGAGCAACAGTACCTACTTACAAATTCAACCAAATCGGAATACATGCTCAGCTTTTCGGGGAGCCAACGTCAGTCCTGGTTGTGCCACTTAATTGGAGCAAGATCCTCAGTGGGGCATTTTGTGCAAGGATGATTGGAAAATCAATTTACAATATTATCTCAGATCCTATAGCTAAGGATCTAAAGATCTTCGTTAAGAGCTTGAAGTTGGGGAATATAAGAGGATGCTGCCCCTCTCACATCCCCAGGTGACCAGCAGACAGCCTGCATCACACTGCAAGCTCCAGTGATTTAAGTCAGAAGCTCCTTTCCCCTCGCTCTCATTCCACAACACTCCACCTGGCCTCCAAAATACAAACCACAACCTGTCCTCTTTGTGGCACCAACTAGCTAATACCTAGGTATGTGCAGGGCTGACTTTGAAGTTGATCAAAGAGCACATCCATTCTAGAAAATAAAGAATAGAAATAACGTGCTTGATCTGCACAGGTTTGACGGACTTTGGCCACCTAGTAAAATCCAGACCAGCTCCCATTAGTGGTCAATAGAAGGCTTTGCATGTGGGCTAGAAACCAAATTAGGTTAAATCAGGCCTTTATTTCAACAGTACAAACTCTGTTTATTTGTATGTAAAGTGCCAGTTTTATATACAAATCAGTAAGTAAACTTTAAAATCTGCTTTGAAGCACCAAGGCTGAGACCTCCCAAGGGCCTTTGAGTAACTGACTGATTAATCCTGCTGGATCTGACTCACTCCAGGGTCCACACATGTTGAGCCCTGACTGCCACTAAGAGCCACGGTGAACTCACGGACAGCCAGCCTGCCTGCAAAAGCCAAACACGGCCAAGGTCTTTCCTAAGAATCCGAGGAGCTTTTGTCTATGCTTCTTTCTAGGTGAGACAACTAGCATCACTAATCAACAGGCTTGCTTATGAGGTAGCTACACAGTTTTAACAATACTATTAATGAACATTATGGATAATTCATGGTGTAGCTGGTTTGATACACTTCAAGTAGCTGATTTTTTTTTTTTTTTTTGGATGAGAAAGGGGAAAAAAAAAAATCAGCAAAATAAGAGCACATCTTCATTTCTCTTAGAAGTCAGCATCCAAGGTAAAAGAATTCTCTGTTGGACTTGACATCACTCCCATCCTCTGATACTCGCCTACTCTCTTCTCAAAGAAGTTAGTCTTCCCTTCCAGTGAAATATTCTCCATAAAGTCAAATGGATTTTCTACTCTGAAAACCTGAAAAGGTTCACAGGAAAATTTAAATTCGGAACACCAGCTTCAGAAGAACCAGAAGGCTATAAACAATACTTTACCTTGCCAAAACCTAGCTCCAGCATAAGTCGGTCTGCCACGAACTCAATATACTGCTTCATTAACATGCAATTCATCCCAATGAGCTTCACAGGCAAGGCCTCCGTGAGGAACTCCTAGAGACCAAAACAGAGCTTCTCAATAAAACGGAAGCATCAAGACACCTTCTAGCTGGCACGAGAGACCCTGATGCAACACCCACCTGCTCTATCCGAACGGCATTAATAATTATTTCCCTCACTCTCTGCTCGGAAGGTTTGTGGACCAGGTGTTTGAACATCAGGCAGGCAAAGTCACAGTGTAAACCCTAGAAGAAAAGGTTTAAGATCACTATTAAAACCAGACTTGTATCAGGGCGCCTGGGTGGCTCAGTCGTTAAGCGTCTGCCTTCAGCTCAGGTCACGATCCCAGGATCCTGGGATCGAGCCCCGCGTCGGGTCGGGCTCCCTGCTCAGCGGGAAGCCTGCTTCTCCCTCTCCCACTCCCCCTGCTTGTGTTCCCTCTCTCGCTGTGTCTCTCTCTGTCAAACAAATAAACAAACCTTTAAAAAGGAAAAAAAAAAAAAAAAGAACCAGACTTGTATCGGTAACATGAAACAGGAAATGGCTTTCCCCTTTTCTGCATTCTCCTCCTACCCCTTGGGTGGCAGTGCTTTAAGCACTTCAACGGTCAAGGGGAAGAGGGCTTCAACTGCCATCTGCTCTGCGAAGGTCACGGCAGGTTCAGCAGCACCCAAGGCCCTCAACACTGCTCCTCTGGGGAACAACAGCAGGCCAGGTCCGGTCCCTGCTGCCCCGTGTGGTAGCCAAGGATGGGGAAGGACTTCTGCTCAAAGCATTCTTCCTACATCTGTGAGCTCCTGTGTTGCCACTATTCCCAGCAGGGAAGGCAAAACTCGGTGAACAGGCTAGTTAGTTCTGAGATTTACAGCCTAATGCTCGGGAAATCAGTAACGCAATTTCCAGTGAATGGAGTCTACGAGTCTTAGTGCCAAGTAACCCTGATCTTCCTGTAACAGAAGGAAGAGTTTCTTATTATAAAGCAAGACCAACTGATCTGCCCACTGGGCTCCAAGTATGGCAGGGTTCATGGCCCTGGCCTTGCCAACTGGAATTAAATTAGAACATCTGGACATCTTCACCTTCCCCTCCAGTTTAATCCAAGTGCACTCAAAGACATAAACTGGACCAGAATGGATTCTCATTCTTCACTAGGATGCTTATCGCCCAACTTTGAAGTACAGTAGGGTCATACAGAATACTGGGCAAAAAGAATAGAACACCCCATCACCTAGGGTGCATCAGACATATAAAGGTATTGAGAACACAAGCACTTCCAGTAAATTAAAGTATTTCATTTTCTGCCAAGTACGGATATAGCTGAACTCACATGTTAAATGTGGATCTCAGGCAATCTTTTATCTGGAGTTCCCATCAGTGAACCCAAGAGTTGTAGATGTTTGGGGTGCCCATTAACCGGTTATGTGAATTAGACTCACCTCATCTCTGCTAATAAGTTCATTGGAAAACGTGAGGCCAGGCATCAGGCCGCGTTTCTTGAGCCAGAATATTGACGCAAAAGAACCAGAAAAGAAGATTCCTTCCACAGCAGCAAAAGCCACAACCCGTTCTCCTGTGAAGAGTTAACACCGACATAGTTCTAGTGAGCAACCGAGCACACGCACAAGGGGGGCCACAGACCAGGGACGGCACTCAGAGGATGAAGCTCAGGGGGATGCGGGGCCAGAGGGGTCCTTACCGTAGGTAGCCTCTTTGTCCCCAATCCAACGCAAGGCCCAATCTGCCTTCTTCTTTACACAAGGCATTGTCTCGATGGCGTTGAAGAGAAATTCCCTAGTAGACACCCAGAGCGTCAGCAGTTACAGCAAAGACCTCCAATCACAAACATCCGGAGAACACCACTGGGGCCAAGGCCAAATCGAGCCTCAAACTGAAATGTCTTCTCATTACTGTTTTTGCTTTTCCTCCAGTGTTCTTTTTAAAATCTCAACATTCACTTGGTTCCTATTCTTTAGTTCATAGGGATCCCCGAGATCTACTAACATTAAAAGTCTTAGTCCGTTACACCAAGAGCATTTATCAGCTTAATTATATCAAGCCCAGGTCATGACAAAGTTCACAGGCCCTATCTTTGAACTTGAGAAGCCATAAAATCTTAACTGCTAAGACTACTTCAGTTATGCTGACCATTATCTTCCTAGACAGCACCTTCCTCACCAGACTATACCATCAGGTCAATTATATGGGCCCCAAATGCCATATGTATATAATAAAGTAATTAAAGCCAATAAACTGAATAATCTGAGCTTGCTTCCTACTGTAATTCTATGCTACACTGATGGTCCCAGGTCAGGAAAGCAAATCAACTGGCCCCCCACTTACCTGGGTCTTCCTTATTACCCTCTTCCGCCTCCAATGTAACCCTGTGCCCTGCTTGGGAGTCTACAGATTCCCCAGCCTGTTCCTTATCAGGCGACCTTGTTTTCTGAAGCCAACGTCATCAGACCATATGGCTCCCTTCATTCTCTTTCCATGTCTACATCCTGAGACCAGGGTCTGCCTCTCCCTAGCTTTTGAAGCTCAACCACCACACCTTCCTGATCCTGCCCCTTCTGGTTATTTATCGGGGTCATGCCTATCTTTATCTTTCCTCATTTCTGCCTACAAATGTGTTCAAATCGTCCTACCCCCCCGAGTCTCCCCAATCCTGCCAGCCCTTCCAAGCCACCACTCATTTTCCCAAATCACATTCTTCCTGGTTACCCACAGGTGCCTACCTTCCAGCCCTACCACTTCTGTTCCACGCAAGACTCTCATCCTGAAGCTGACCTCAGTATCTAGACCACTTAGACAGCCACTTTTAACGTTCTCCTCCTCTCTAATCTTGAAAATGTAAAATGGGTGTGAAGCTACCTTCATTTCTCCTCTGTGATCCCATGATGCAAACCATCTCTTCACACAGTCCTGTGCCTAAGTTCATCTAACCGTAAACTGCTGCCTCTGCTTTATTATGGAATTCCTCTCACTCACACTTCTAGGTCTGATTTTCTGTACTGTATTACGAGCTCTTGAAGAGGAGAGTAACGTTCTACTCGGGTGCACCCTCCATCCCCTCCATTTTGCCCCAGCTTCCCATTGTAGGTTAACAGATTGGCCACACGAGTACAAACTGTCAGACCTAGGATTTCGTTCATCATACACAGCCTCCTCGGATGTGTTTTGTTTTGTTTTCAAAGGCATTAGATTGAACGACCAACGGTATACTTCCACTTCTAAAAATGGAGTAACCTCAGAACTTTGCGTTTTTAAGTGACTTGCTAATAAAGTGAGTGTAGGCCTCTTCCTCAGAGCAGACGGGAACATGGGTGGTAGAAACTGCTTTGTCTGCTTAGTCACTTAAGTCATTCTTCTACCCCTATGTGAACTCAAAAACTTGAAATAACGTTAACAATTAGTGAGTCCTAAACATGTTGGCAGGCCACCCAAATACTCACCTTTCTTTGGAATCTTTAATATAAGTGTCAATGAGGAGACTGTACATCTCAGAATGGATGTTTTCCATGGCAATTTGGAAGCCATAGAAACAGCGGGCTTCTGTAATCTGAACTTCTTGGCTAAACCGCTCCACCTAGTGGTAAAACACATCACAGCTTTCAGCTTGAGGAGCATCCACTCAGAGGATCCTGGATACATCACACTCCCTTTGTACCACCATAGGGTTTGCTTCTATTTTTAGAAACAATACTTCATTATTCTGTGGTAAAGCTGGGCATTTTATGCCATATGCGCTCAATTTACAGATCAGGAAATAGATAATGTCTATTTTATAGGGATCCTAAGAACACTCATCAATTCATTTTTTCCTAATTCACTGCACGAAGGATCCACTCACTATAAGACATATACAGACTCAAGTTATTAAAACAGCAAAACCACAAAAAGGAAAGCAATGTCATAGCCACAAGGAGTAAACCTATTACTACCACTTAACATTGTCTTTGAGCCTCTCGAGAGCCAGTAGGGGGAAAAATTAACCATAGGGAAGAAAGAACTGCAAAGGATATTATAAAACAGGCAACACCATGTAACAGAACTACTAGCTTACAACTAGTATAACCTAAAAGATGAGGAGAGAGAATTGATTTTCTCTTTAAACATGAAGCGAATGAAAGCAGACATTTTTTGGAAACTCACCAAGTTTTCATTTACTATGCCATCACTCGCCGCAAAGAAAGCCAGAACGTGGGATATAAAGTATCTCTCCTCAGGCTTCAGGGATTCCCAGTGCTGAATGTCCTTGGAAAGATCCACCTGAAGTTTAGACGATCACAAGGGACATTAAGCATGCGGGGCCTCACACATACACATAATTCTTAAACCTTCTTTTTTTTAAAGATTTTATTTATTTATTTGAGACAGAGAGAATGAGAGAGAGAGAGCACATGAGAGCGGGGAGGGTCAGAGGGAGAAGCAGGCTCCCCGCCGAGCAGGGAGCCCGATGCGGGACTCGATCCCGGGACTCCAGGATCATGACCTGAGCCGAAGGCAGTCGCTTAACCAACTGAGCCACTCAGGCGCCCTCTTAAACCTTCTTTTAAGTCTACCGACACCACTTGATCAAGAACATCCCTCCCATGCACAGCTCCCTCCCATTCCACATCCTCCGTGGGCAACCATCCCCAACCACCCCCAAGAGGAACAAGAGTATATTTCAAGCAAGTTACAACCACCACTGCAGCGGGCTTCTTCTAGAGCTGGGGGCAATGCTTAAACTTCCTTTTAAGTCTCCAGTTCCTGACTCTGATTACCTCTTCAGCTGTCCAAAAGGAAGCCTCAGCTTTCTTATACATCTGCCAAATATCATGGTATTCGATAGGGAAGATGACAAAGCGACGAGGGTTTTCTCTCAGTAGTGGCTCGTCCTCCACGCTGGGGCCAAGCACCTTAGTTTTCTGTTGGGCGAGAAAGTAATGAAAATGCTAATCATAGAGGGAACCACATGAAATTGCCATTTTTTCGGGCCTAGTGCATTCAATGACTGGCAATCCCGGGTGGTTCAGTGTGTGGGTCAGCGGTCACACATGTATATCCTACAGAGAACAGAACCGGGATGTGACAGAGGAACAGGAGGAAATCTGCGGAAGTGTAAAGGACGGGGACGGCATGCCTTGGCGGGAAAGAAGCGCGGGCCGGGGAGTGGCTAGGGTTTGAAACCCTGGAGGAGACAATGAGGCTTTGGCGCCAAGGGCGGCGGCTAGCGCCCCCTACCGGCAGCGCCCCGCCCCCACAGGCCGCTTCCCCGCCGGCTGCCCGGGCCACTCACCGGCTCGGCGGGCTCCTGGAAGATCCTCCTGGCGGTCTTGCTGGCCAGCACGCGGGTCCCGCTGAGACTCGGGGGCTGCGGAGAGACGCGCGGTGAGGGGCAGGCCCCCGACCCACAGGCCCCCCGCCGCCCCGGCCGGCCCGCGCGTGCTCACCGTGTTCTCCTTGTCCGCCAGGCTGAGCCCCTTGAGGGGCGAGAGCTGGAGCTGCTGCTGCTGCTGGGGGTCCACGATGGTGGCGAGCGGGACGCGGACGGAGAGCATGGCGGCGGCGAGAGGTTACGGCAG